CGATGTCTTCCTTAACACCTTCCACATTTGCTTACGTTTTCCCATTAAGATGGTGTTTCAGCGAACGAAAAAGATGATAATGTGATGGCGCCATATCTGGAAAATATAGTGGGGGGGGGGGCTTAATCTTGTGTTGCGTCAAACGTGCCACATGTGAACGAGCATTGTCGTGGAGAAGAAGAACACCTTTTCGATTGACCAGTGAAGGGCTTGATTTAAACGTTCCAGTTGCTGACTATAGATCTCTGCATTGTCAGTTCGCTGTGGGTTGAGGAGTTCGAAATGAATTACTCCTTTGATGTCCCACCAAATGCAAAGCATCACTTTCTGCGGATGGAGTCCAGGTTTTGGGGTCGGAAGTGGTTTTTGTCTAGGACTGAGACATTGTTTATGGCGTTTAATATATCCATAGAGAATCCATTTTTCATCACCGATGACAATTCTGTCCAAAAATGGTTCACGCCCATTACGCGCCAGAAGAGACGAAGCAACAATCACAAATTGGAAACAGTGATCATCGGAGAGTTCATGAGGCACCCAAACAACTTCTTTATGGAGTTTCCCATATTCCTTTATGTATTGTTTCATGAGACATGCAATTTCAGGGCCATTACACGAGTGTGCAACTTGGGTTAGGCTCAACAAGCGTGATCGGAGCACCAATATCAATTCCAACATGTCGGCCCCTGCCATCACAGTTTTTAAGGTGACTTTAGTCACCTGAACGAAATTTGCTGAATCATCGTTGACACTTACGAGCGTTCAAAACATTTCCATAAACTTCTTTGATATTCTTTGTGGCTAAAGAGGCGTTGTGTATCAGTTCTAACAACAGGAGTATTTAGAAATTATTTCAATGTATACCAGTATTAATAACAGAATCATTTAGAAATTCTGTCAAGGTATACCAGTACTTACAACTGAAGTATTGATAAATGAGAACAAGGTATACCAGTTTTTAATACAGAGTGCATGGAGATATTCTATCAATATTTCCAAGATCCACAGTAATCGTGATAATTTCTTTGGAACCTAATGTATTTAAAAGACCAGAAATATATATATATATATATATATTTATACTTGGACACTGGTGTCTACGACCAGTAGTATCCCTATCATGATGTGAACGACCAGCTGCCTCACAACAAAAACTCATTTTCTATCCCCTAAATGAAGACAGTGCGGGTCCCCTGGTGATAAACTGCCGAGTTCTACGTCTTATATAATGCCAGGATAACTTTATTATGACGTATTCTCTCTGTAGTGCCCGTTACTTGATAACGACTTATAAATACTGCACTTAATGTCTATTGTACAAGATATTACATCATCCTCTTCGCCCTAGTGCTAGATCTCCTTACTACTCAATATAAGAATTGTCTGATATAAATTTACGTAACTACTCTTCCTAAAAAGAAACAGCTAACATGGATTGCATACATATCTATTCTTTAAGTTATGTACTTAAATAACTAGTTGTTTTATAGTCTTTTTATAAATTACTTTTTACTGATAAATCATTGGCTGTCTCTTCAAATAATGTACGTTACAAAAACTTACTTCCAAGAATATTTTTAGTTTTAGGTGTATACTGATAAACTACTAATGTTTC